GTGAGATCGAGTAAGTGGCCGCCGGCTGCTTTTCGTTTTCTGAGTCACGATCCCATCCGTCGGCTGCGCTGTCCGGCTCCATCCGTCCTCCCACCCTCTTCACAAGCAGGCAAGCCGCCCTCTACTCCTACACACAGACGAGCTCCGGCTCGCCCCTCCTCTTCACAACATAGGCGTTTGACTACGGGTGCCGCCCTAGGCAAACGCCTACTTTGCCTCGCGGTAAATACACCCCTGCTTGTAGTTCTCTATGCTATGAAGCTGTATGGATTCCTGTCCTCCTGAAAGTACAAGTAATACAGCACCATTATAAAACATAGAATAGAACATAGTTGACCTTGAACGTTTCACGCTAAATTATGTTTTATTCTATGTTTTAAATAATATTGTTAAACAGTAAATATTTGCGCTTATGGGTCTCTTTCCCTTTAAACCCAAAAATGACAGCCGCAGTAAAAAAACAAAACAAAATAAAACAAACGATATTTGGTCAAAATAACTAAAAACATAAATAGACCGCGCTATCTCCACTCAACATTTAACCCCTATCCCTGAATAACAAATAATCAGTGACTGTTGGGAGCTAGGGCGGTGCACTTTTTTTGGCTCACTATTTGCCATAATCACGAGTTGGAGAATTTCATTAGGGAGTTTCTTTTGGATTGGATTGTGATATGAAGTATTTACACGTTTCACATTTAGAAGATTGTTCTATTCACATCTAACTTTGATATAACGCTATTTTATTGATTTGTTTGCATTGTGTTGATATATTTAGTGGTCTTTTTCACGTACACTGATTACCGACTATTTGTTGGTTTGGGGATAAGGGCTAAATGTTGAGGGGAGATAGTATTTTTGTTTTTAGAAATAATAATAACTCGGGAATGTGTGCTTATAGTAAATATAGAAATGGAGGATACAGTGCGTGTTTAATTACAAAGTGTTATTATTCCTAAATGAAATGTATGTGGACAGGATTAGGTGCCGGAAATCCACCATTGGGGAGGGTGGTGATGTCTGCAAATTGTGTACTGACAGTGTAGAAACCTTCCACAGGAAAGTTCTCTCTCTTTTATTGACCTGGATTATTGTATATCACTGATAGATATACTGTATTTTGTATATAACACTTCACACAATGCACAGTACACAGAAAAATTGAAATTGGGCACTAGGACTTGAAGAATCTTACAAGCTCACAGAGACACACACACAATGACACACTGACAAACACAGTGACACACACACACACACATACATACAATGACACATACATGGATCGGACACATACATACTGTTGTGGAAATTTTATTAGGATGTGTTTTTAGTGTATTGTAATATTTTGTCATTATGTCTCCATGTAAGGGTTTGCTGCGTCACGCCCAAT